AACAGCTACAACTCCATCATGCCTAAAAAAAGATGAACTCAGTACTTTAAACCTCTGATGTGAAACTCTGATAATGGGCATCCCTTCAAGGAATGTGTCTTTAAAGTTGTAAAAAAATCTCGTCTTTAGTCGTTCTGATGATGCTGGGAGGTTTCTTGAAGATTTAACCTTCAATTTACCACTGCAGTGACCTTCAACAATTTTCCATCTAGTGTCCATGTTTATAGGAACTCCTACATGGATGAAAGGCTCAAGTACAAGATTAGCTCCATTATTGTAAGGGACGCATCAAACATGTTTGCTAAATCTTAAAGGAAAAAAAAGTTTTTACAATAAAGACGTGTCAGGTGTGTAGAAATGTGTTGTATTAGATAATGGGTCTTAGAAGCAGCTTGAAGCTTCCCTGTTGGTTGAGTTCTTACACAGTTTGGCCACTTCCTGACACTTGCTTGGCATTTCTTTAAAGATCTTGCATCCCTCCCCCAGAGACGGAAAGATAGCGAGCGAGCCAGAGAACTGATGGAGTGTGGGGCTAAAAAAGCGCACACTCCCTTCTACCTCTGTCTGCTGCAGCGCCCACCATCTCCACAGCCGTTCTGTGTCACACTGTCTGCCTCTGCCACTCTTTTGTTCTGTGCTGAAGAAAGCGCAGGCCGGAAGCATCAAAGCACGATCGACTTGAAAGCTCTGAACGTGTGCGCGCACTAGCTTGGTCACACCGTAGAAATAATAAGGGCTTTACACATAAACACACGGGCACAAACGACACAAGTGTGTAATTGAGACAGTTCAGCTGGCTTTGTAGGCAGCATCTGTTCCAGGCCCCGTCTTCCTCCCTTTGTACCCACCCTCTGTGACAGGTGGAGGGGATTCAGACTCACAAGCTGAGGAGACACACCAAAGTCACTCATACGTTTTTTTTTTTGTATTATTTGGTCTACACACACAAGCTCGTATACACACACCTGCTGTGAGGCCACGCAGCCATGGCCCTGTGGTGCCAAGCAGGCTGAGCAGCACGTTGTGTGTTTACACCACCTGCTCTGAGGCCAAACACATGATGAGGGATTAGAGCTGACAGCACAAAGATGAACAGCAACACATACAGTAGACAGATGTACATAAAGCCCCTCAACTGAGACTCACTAAACGAAACTCCAAACACATCCATCTATCGGCTGCGCACGCCGACAGAAGCAGGAGTGCGGAACCCACACTTTAGTTCTGTTAGGAGCTCTAGGCTGAAACAACTTTGACCTTTTGACCTCTGACTAATTTCTTTTAACCGTTTTGGACCACAGCTGACCCTTCCTGAGCTGCATTAAATACACTGGACGCAGCTTATAGATCAGAAGTGCCCAGAACTTTCTGCCTGAGGTGCAACATGACAGTCAGAAATACTCAAGACCTATAGAAGTAAACAACCATCACTAACAGTCAAGTCATACTTTATTTATTTGATGCATTTTAAATTGAAGATTGCATAAGATAAAATATTAGGGATCAAGCAGGGCGGTGGTGCACTATAAAGACAGCTCGGCATTCAAACGTGGCTTTTGTGGAACTTTAGCTACTTCAGCACAGTTGTCACGGTTGAACACAACAGCTAAAAGTAAAAAGCAACCCACAACCCTGTGCAACAAAATAATAATAGTGCAAACTGCAATTAAAGTTTGACCTAATTTTAGTCATGAAAGTAAACAAATGCACATGGAAGTTGGCATCCAGTCACTTGTTTTCATAGACAACACAAATTATCTATATGAGAAATATTTTGGGTGGATTGCTTATTGAGAAGGTGGGCCTGTGATTGGAAGGTCGCTGGTTCGACTCCCCAGACCAACAACATCAAAACGTGGGTTGAAAAGGTAAAACACCCACACCTGCCCCCACTCTCATTTGTTCTGCTCTGGGCCCTTGAGCAAGGCCCTTAACCCGCACCATCTGTTCCCAAATAGGTCTCTTTTGAAAATGGGTCCTCGTAACTCAATAAGACAACCTGCATAAATAAAAGTTAAATTAAAATAAATTATTGTGATTCTTTGATTTGGTTTTCATGACTTTGCATCGAGTCTAAAAGCATGACTGGAATTAAGTTTTTAAGCTAATTTATTTCTAATCTTTTCAAGTATTTAACAACCTAAATGTTGGGAAATACTGCTAATGAACTTTTTACAGTTACTAATACGCATGCAAAAAAAAAAAAAGGCAACATACTCCAAATACTTTCAAAGCTATTTCTCGTATTCAAGATTAGCGTTCAACTCGTCTTTTGGTGCTTAACACCTGCTTTTTTTATTGACTTTTGTATACAAATGGAATTATAAAGTTGTTTTACTGGTATTTGACGTTGTGGTAGCTAAATGTCCTCAACGTGCAAGGATGCTGAGCATTGGAATAACAGCAGAGCACAGCTGAAACGTATATGTGAACTGAATCTGCGGTCCGCGGGCCACTTCCAGCCCGTGGGTGACTTCAGTCCGTCCACCAATGAATTCATACCAAAAAAAAAAAAAAAACAACTTTGGGGTTTTGTTTATTGCATTTATGATTCAATGCAATAAAACAATTTTAAAGGTAAGTGATCATTATAATACTTGAGTTTATGACTTTAATTGCTGGATGTCCAGCCCCTGAGCTGCTGGCTTAAACTGTGGCCCCCTGAGCAGTTGTGTTAACTTGAATAGCCCTGGTTCAGACCGTGTCTTTTTACAAAACACAAGTAGGAATGAATATATCCAGGTCATAATGCATTGCAAATTATTCATTTCGAGCATGCACTTTAACCGTGAAAAGGTCAATAGGCAGTTTGTCTTGCACTCTGATATATTATCGAATGCAAGATATAGACAGGGACAAAATCTAATTTATGAAAAGATCAGTTTCAGATCTTAATCGTCTGCTCCAATAAACAAGCTTTTGATTCTTTTAGACAGAAGTGAAAACATGAGGTCATTGTTTTTCCAATAAAATAATGCAATTTATGAGAGAAAGCATTTGTTTCTTGACTGAGCCACTTCCATCTGGGCCAGCTTCCACCGACTTGGTTGTGACTCAATGTGACAGGACTGGGAATGCTGGGAAACTTTCTGGAGAATGTCATGTCTTGGGAGGAAAACATGCCACAGGGCATAAAGCTGTAGGTTGACAATGTGTCTCGGCTGCCCTGATAGTGCTTCTATTTGCAGAGACCTGTGCAGCAGCAAGACATTTCTTAGTTATCTTCCGTTTCCAGCCGTGTGGTGGTGAGAGGCAGGTCTGCAGCCATTCTCGAGCGTGATCATGCTGAGCTGCCAAAGACCTGGGAGGGAGAGAAGGTGCATGCAGGCCACCCCCATACTCACAATCCACTCCAATGTGCATTTGTTAAATGTGCTAATTGCTTGACAGCAGTAATTGGCAAAGTGAATCCTGCAGATAATTATGTGGTGTAAAACAGTTTATTGGAAAAGCTGACTGGAGAAAAAAAAAAAAAGCACATACCATCTCCAAATATAGATAAAACATACAGGAAGTCAAACATGGCAGTAAATTACACATTACTACCTACCACTCAAGGACATGTTGCTTCTTCTCTCTGCTCTAAATTACAGGGTAAACACAAAAACAGAATGATAAGTGTGTGTGTGTGTGTGTGGGGGGGGGGGGGGGGGGGGGGGGGGTGGACAGGTGAAGCAATGATGGGTTCAGGTGTTTTAAGAACAGCTGTTCTTCAAATAAAAACAGCAGGTAGTGGCAGGACGGAGCTCTGAAAGACAGGGAATCAGGGAAAGGTGCATAAAAAGTGTTTTCAGAGAGGTGTGCAGAATAATTGGAGACCGTTGTGATTGACGTGGAAAGAAAACCAGCTGCACACTCAGTCCGGTGGGAAAGAATTGTGTGTGCTGTACACAGAGCAGCTGACACACTACAAACACAAAGGCCCACTGTCAACACATTTACAACAGTATCATACAAATACAACTCCGTATTCACTCAGGCAGCTAAGCTGTCTGCAAAACCTTCTGACTGGTTAGAACTGAGTTATTATCAACACTACAATCATCTCACTTCTTTACCATAACTAAACCAACGTTGATTTATTTTACATATTGCTTTTCTCCCCAATAACCATTGTAGAATTTTAAAATTTTTTGCATATATATGCAATTTGCTGCAAAACTGGCTTGAAATCCATTAATCTAATTTCAGATGTCTTCATTGGAACAGACTTGCAAAAAGCAGAGCTCACCCCGAGCATGTGACGTCATGATTCATATTCTATACTCTGGCACCCTCTGCAGGATTTTATTCACACCACTAATCAAGTTGTTCAGATTGTTGAGCAGCTTCTCAAAACTTTGTCCAACTAAAAAGGGACATTGTAGAACAAATATTTTATAATCCTTCAAGATATCTGTACAAGCTTAACCATTCATTACAAATTTTGGTCTAAAACTGCTCTGAATAAAAATCTGTTCATTCCTTTTCTCATGCCTTTAAAATCTTTTGAAGCACAAAAAAGTCGTCTCTAGATGGCGCTGTGGTCCCCCAACGTGACAACTCTTACACGAAATAAGACACTTCCTTTTAACCATCAGCCATTGTTATTTTTGAGCAGCACGTGTGTCTTGGCATCACAAATGATTATGGGATGCAACCAAAAAATGAACTCGGCAACAGATGATTAAAACGACAAATGGTTTGAAAATGCAATGTGGCCATTAGAGAGGTGCCGTTTGCCCATTGATGAAGCAGCCTCAAAAAGCTATTCCCACATGCTTAATGGAACATGACAAACATTTGATTTTTGCCTGATGGTTCATACCTGAGCTGAGAAATGGCTCAGCCAATAATTTAGATTTAGACTTTAGCTTTCTGAAAAGGTTTTTTTTTCCCTTCCCAAAACCCATAAACAGTCCTAGAGACAATATATGATTTAGATTACAAGAAAATGGTATACTAATAGAATTATTCTCCATTAAGTACTTTTATTTTTCACAAAAAAGGCATACACAGCATTTGACTTTTCCCACAAAATGTTTATTAAACAGATTTCTTGTTTGCAGCAGCAACCTGCAGAGAGAAAAAAGATGCAATAAGAATATTGAAACATGTGGCCTTGAAATAAATGACTTCTGAATTTTCATCCCCAATCAGATTCCCAAAAGGATTTTTGGAATGAGGGTCAGGTGCATGTTACTGGTATGAACAAGACACAATTTAATTTAAAGCAATTAATTAAAATCAAACATCCCGTCTGCTGCTTTCGTTGTCCTTTAGTCCTAAACAGAACCGTTTGTTGTGTGTTAAAAGCCTGCAGTGCACATGAATTTTATCTCTAATTGCATAAGGTCCCATGGTTGCGGTACCTCGGTGGTCAGTGCCGTGGTCTTGTAATCCTGAGGTTTCAGGTTTGAGCCCAGGGCGTAAAACTATTTTCAAATCTTTCATGCGAGTTTGCTTGCTGTGGCAAACCCTGAAGGGAGCAGCCAAAAGAACCTTACTATATGTACAAGGTTTCACAAGAAACAAGTTAAAAGGGAATTTAGGACATATATTTTTTTGTTCTGATCAATACTAGCACCATCAGCAGCTCAACACTGAGCAGACTGTTGTCTTTGCAGGAAAGTCTTGCTTGAAAAACCATTCAAGAGGTGTAGGAGCTACATCAACATGCATGATGCAGGTTTTATAAAGCAGACAGGAGGGCGGGGCCCAGCCCAGCTCATCTGCATACTGCTCATTAGTATGGGTAAACAAGAAGAAAAGTTGTGCCATACGGCAGACTCGTTAAGCATGAAATTCCCTCCTTATGTTTACCCCCTTTTACCCTTGGCTTATCACAACACGGTTGCATCTTGACTTCTGACAAGGCCCAACTGTGCTTTTCATTTTGTAAAATATTAAAATTCCAGTTGCAGGCACACAAGATGTATAATTAGACAGCTAGAGAAAATTTGCCTGAGGACAAGCGCCACTAGAAATATCTCGCATGTCAGGTGTCATGTACTCCCTCCACAGACGAGGTGTTCCATTAGGGGGGGTTATATGGCACTCCTATTCTGTCTATTTTAAAACTGTAAATTTAATTCCACTACAACTTGAAAAGCTTAAAGGCACCACTATAGTTTATCACACTATCAAAAAAATAAATAAAAATAAAATTGCAAGTACAACCCAGCAATATGAAGGGTAACTGATAAAACGGGTGGGAGGGAAGACACTGAAGGTCTTAATTTTAGCTGTGCATCAAACCAGGCAACATAATCCTGATGTCTAAGATTAAGAATAGTGCAGCACACTTATCAGCAAATTATATCCAGAAAAACTGAAAGCAAAAACATTAATTTAATAAAAAGCTAATCTGCAAGTTGATCTGAAATTCAAATCGCCTATACCATAACTCATTTTTTCTTAACACTCATGATCAATGATGTAATCGCATATTAGAAAATCACTGTTTCAAGGGACGGTACGTTTATGAATCATTTTGATAAACTTTTCCATAAATCTAGACATAACGACTTCTCACCTGGCCAGCGATTCTGTCCAGGTCTCTGGTTCCCTGGGAGGTCAGTCGTCGCCCACTAAAAAAAAAATAAATAATAATAATTAAGTTATACAGCTATTTAAGAACCATAATCCAGTGTTTGTACAGTTAAGTGTACGTTGATGATTAATTCATCACCAAGGCAAAAAGAGGTGGAAAAAGAACAAACTTAGACCAGTTCATAATGTAATGCGTTTCCTAGCCAATAAATTAATAGAACAAAGACAATTATTTGTCCTGCTGTTGGAGTAACTGCAAAGCTATTGCAGGCTTGTGGAGCAAAAACATTAGCAAACTAGTTATCAGTTTCATGTGGTCATAAAAGTTTAAACAATGCACAAGGAAAAGGGAGTAAACTTTACCCTGTATAACAAACAACTATGTATGCATAAAAGTAAACAGTTAACATATGCTTGCCTTCTTCACCATCTATGCGTGCATACATCTTACAGATACAACCTCAAACCTAATTAAGTCATTCTTAATTACTTTCTATTCATATTGAAAGCAAGCATCATAAATACAAATTAAAATAACAGTTCGAATGGAGACTACTCAAAAGAATGACATGATTTGTATCCTAATACGAGTAAAAATGACAGTTCACATGTTCAGTCCACATCTAGGCGGCTCCACAAAAAGCAGGCGAAGGTCAAAAAGAAGTTAGCTGCTTCAGCTAACAGTTGTGCTTTCTGTGCATAGTGGCATTACTTCTTAGCATTTTCTTTTTTTAACCAATTTATGTGAATGTAATGTTGAAAGAAAATCTGCAGCTGCACTTGTTCTTAAGCGCAGAAAAACAGATTTAATAAACAACGAGATGGCTTTTCAGGACGAAAAATAGCATGTTAATTTGTAATAAGTAAAATCACTTTCATTTTACATATTAAAAAACAAAATCAATGGAATTCCTCCAATCCCTACTTGGATAGCAACAAAATATTTACTTTGGACTTTCAAAATATATATAATTGGAAGTAAATTAGTCTATTACTAACAAACACCATCATCTTCTTGTTAAATGTTCTGCACAGCTGGCCAACGTTGTAGCTCAGTTCCACGTTCCATTAAATAACCGTATTCAACTTTTTAATTAAACTTCATTATACAGGTCTGTTTTTTTACTGATCTACTTCAGGAGGTACTGCATAACTTATAGCTTGGCTTTTTCCTACAACCTCGGCTAACGTTCAGAGTGATATTCACTGATGTGAGAATCACCACTTGCGCTTTAACATTCATTTTTTTCTGCAGAAGCACATGCCACACAGCAAACACTTCCTGGTTTTAACATTTCAGAACAAAAAGTAGTGCAAGTTCCACACTCACTAAGTTTTAATAACTCTCAGAAGATATCTAAACTGTTTTGTGCTAAAAACAGTAAAATAATTACAATACTTCACTACAGTCCTTTGACATTTATGTTGCATAATTTTTTTTTTGCCAAATTAATGCAAAGCAAAAACGTTTAACAGATGTGGCTCTTCATCACCGCTCCAAGCCCATTGACAGCTGATCCCAGCGGCTCCTACTTAAAACTGTTCAACAAAACTTGATTGTCTTGAAAAACTAAATCCCAACTTTCACCATCGTTTCCCCATAACATCATACAAGCAGGGTGTCCTGCCCTTTCAACACAACCGAGTGCCCAGCATACCGAGCTAAACAAAAATGTGCACAAATGCACAAAATGTGTGTCAGTGTATTTAACAAGTCCAGTATTTATAAGCCTCAGTAAGTTAGTCCCACAATGCCTGTAATTCACAATTAAACTACATAATGTGCAGATCAAACTCTAACATAACAGTATTTTTTTTTATTGCCAAAGTTTTTAAAAATAAAAACACTGCAAAGCATCACTCACCCATTGGGATCCTTCTCGATCATCTTGAGAAGCTCAAGGGCTTGCAGGACCTTACGAGCCACATTTTTCGATCCTACGCTGAAATGGGCAGGGCACACACCGTTTCTTTTGCGGCCGCCATAAATCTTGGTCATAGATCCAACACCAGCGCCACCTCGAAGATATAAATGGCGAACTGTGGATGCTGTGAAAAGAGGTGATAAGGGCATTAATTTATAACTTTATAAAGCTAATATTTGTCTTTGCAAGTCTAAATAGAATTAACTGAATGCAACTAAATTAACCAAATATTTGGGCTTACCAGCTCTGATATAGAACCAGTTATCATCACTGGGGGCCAGCTCCTTGTGCTTGCCCAGCTTGACAAGGTCCACCCAGTCAGGTACCTTCAGCTTTCCTGACCTAGAGACAGCAGAGGACGCATCAACATAAAACCTTCAACACAATCCAAAATAAATAAAGTGGTGGTTGAAAGTTTGTGAACGCTTCAGACATTTATATATTTCTGCATAAATGACCAAAACATCAGATTTTCACACAAGTCCCAAAAGTAGATAAAGAGATCCTAGTTAAACAAATGAGACAAAAATATTATAATTGGCCAATTTATTCATTGAGGAAAATGATCCATTATTACAGATTTGTGAGTGGTAAAAGTATGTGAACCTTTACTTTCAATATCTGGTGTGACCCCTCCGTGTAGCAATAACTGCAACTAAACATTTCCGGTAACTGTTGATCAGTTCTGCACACCGGCTTGGACGATTCCTCCGTACAGAACAGCTTCAACTCTGGGATGTTGGTGGGTTTCCTCACATCAACTGCTCGCTTTAGGTCCTTCCACAACATATCGATTGGATTCAGGTCGGGAATTTGACTTGACCATTCCAAAACAAAAACTTTCAAGCACCCTGTATAATCCAACCAGGTTGGGTCAGGTCCTCTGGATGGGTTCTTAGTTAAAAAATTTTTATGTTTTATCCAAAAAAACCTAATTCCAGTTTTTCAACCCGTCCAGAGGACTTGACTCAACGTTGTTGGATTTATCCATCTGATTTGCCGGTCAAAGCAGATGGCCGCTTGTCCTGAGCCTGGTTCTGCTGGAGGTTTCTTCCTTTTAAAAGGGAGTTTTTTCTTTCCACTGTTGCCACTGTGCTTGCCCAGGATGGGAGACTGCAACGAAGCCAAGATTCAACTTGTCTGCTGGATTCCTTAGAGAACTTTACTAATTGGCTTTAATGTATGTGAATGTTTCTGTAAAGTGCCCTGAGACAACTTTGTTGTGATGTAGCGCTATATAAATAAACTGAATTGAATTATTAAGCATGCATCAGCAACGTACACCTTTTACTGTTTGTTTTAACAATATTACACCATGAAACACACAAGAAAAACAAGTTATATGGGCACTACATTAACTAACATTAAACAGATTTCATAAATAAATATAAAAGCATGTACTGACTTTTTCAGGAAAGCTGCAAGGGCACGGACAAACTCCTGCTGGTTGACGTCTTTCACTGTAACGCCAGGCATCTAAATAGCAAAACAGAAGCGTAACAAACGTGTTCAGTTGCAAACATTCTAGATGCAAAGGTTGAAAAAAAAAAATGATATGGCTGAACAGACGAAATGCAAACAAAAAAGTACATAGAAAAATAATATACTTTCATTGGTATTGATTAATAACTACAAGAGTGAGATATAGACAATACTACATATAATTATAAATGTTCGACTCTGATGAATGTGAGTTTGCATATAATGACAGAAATTTGGTTCAAATTTCAGCAACTTTGGTGCTGAGACTAGGAGTCATGAATAAAGTTTTTGCTGCAACATTAATTTTATTTTTCTTACAACTTTATTTAACCGGGCATAAACACTAAGAACAAATTCTTATTTAGAGTGCTTTATTCCCTTAAGCATAACTGAACAATCCACTTCATAAAGGCGTGGAGATTATAACAGTCTAGAATACGAGAAGTGTTGTCTATTAAAGATTTGCATTTACATCTTGCATTCATCCTTTTACTATAGGAAATCTTAAAGGCTACTAAAACCTCGACAGTTCTCGTACAACTTCATAATCTGAATGATCAAAAAACAACATTGTTTATGGCAAACTTGAACAAAATGTGATTAGATCTCAAGAACTTTAGTGGTTGCGTAGTTTAAACCTAAAACTACATAACAAAAACAGTATGATAATAAAACATTTAGGATCATTTTTTAACGTGAAAGGTTCCTAGCGATGTAACCGGCACGTTAGTTCGGGCAGTTAGCCTGCCGCCTAACGACCATGCTAATCTTACTTTACTTACAAAAGAATCTAACATTATACAAATCAAATGAAAACAGTATGTATAATAAGTAAAACCAAGTTTAAAACCGTACAGCTTGACGTTTTAACTAAAACAATATCTACAAGTCACAGATTAGCACACATGCTAGCAGGCCTAAATGAGGCAGCATGGGGGCAGCCATTACGAAAAGCTACACACCGAGAGCTTCTCTCAGATAAAATACATCGATACTTTGACCAACGTATAAACACTAGTCTCAAAGTACAACTATTCCATCAGTACGTATGCTATGTCCCCGTAGAATATGTCAGAAACGCAAATGCATTAATATTGAAGCTATTTTTAATATAAAATGTAACGAAGTCAAAATAGCGCTTTACCTTGCTTGTGGACAGCGAAGGGAGAGAGGGTGAAACGGGGTTTCCATCCCCTGTTAAAACGGGCAAAACTCGCCTTTTCTCGCGAGATTTTGTTCCTTTCTCCAAATCGGCGCTCCAACATTAAAAAAAATTAACGTATCCTAAAGAACGTGTAAATATTTTTGATTCAGTTCCTATTGTGCTCTCCTTGTTGTTTAAAACATTTATAATGCTATAAAACTTTTGGTTTTATTGATTTCATGAACTACCGTCACAGCAAAGGCACTTAAGTTAATTTACAATTAATTCAACATTTATTTATACAGATTAGTCTCATTGAGCCCCGAGGACTCATTTACAAGAGAGACCAGTTTTAAACAAAGAACACAGATGCGGTACAGACAACAATTGACAATCATAATAAAGCATATACAAATAAAAAGTAAATTAAAGAAATTATATAAAAATGAAACAAAAACAGCTACATTATGAAGCAATGTAAAATACTAAAAACAGGAACGTCTGCATTTTGCCACGAACTTAGCAGTTGTTTAAAATTCCTTAGAGTGGTCAAAGTTGATAACGTCAGCTCTTTTTGTAAGGTGTTCCAGGTTGCAGGAGCAGAGTAAGACAAGGCCCTTTTGACAAGTTCAGTCCACACTGAGGGTACACTGCATGTAACATGTCTTGAGAGTGCACGCTGTAGCTGACATTTCTTAACCCTGTAAGAAACCCAAACAGGACTCCAGTCAGCCATCAGGTGAAAAGGAGGAACCCAGACCAGTGGTCATTCCGTATGTTGAGGGAGTATCAGAGAAACTGAGACGTTTATTTTCTAAACATAACGTCCCAGTGGCTTTTAAACCCCAAAATACATTACGGCAAAGACTGGTTCATCCCAAAGATCCAGTCCCCCGGCACAAACAGAGTAATGTTGTGTATGCTGTTCAGTGTCAGGAGGGCTGTGATCAGTCTTACATCGGGGAAACAAAACAGCCACTGGCCAAAAGGATGGCCCAGCACAGAAGATCAACATCATCAGGCCAGGACTCTGCGGTCTACACTCATCTCCAGGCCAGCGGTCACTCTTTCAGGGATGAAGATGT